ATAATAATTTAATTCTATAATTAGCGTGTCTCGAAACTTTTATAAATTTGAGGAGTGTTACAAATAGACTGCACTAAATGGAGGCATAGCCAATGCGATCACAAATGGAGCTGCAGGCACTGCCATTTAATTGCATTCCAAACCATGTTAGTTGGCTTTTTCGCTCTTAAGGACTCTGCTTCATTCTTGAATCCGCAGGACAAGTTACAATGCGGAAGAAGGATCTCCATCATGACCCTGATCCACTTGCCAATTTTTCGTTACCATATTCGCCAAATTCATATTTCTCGTACACTTCAAGTAAGAGCTCCCTGCACGGCACAACAGCCCCGAGCTTTATGCAAGCAAGGAAAGCTCCAGAAAGTTTACGGTGAAGACTATAAGCTTCCTCAGGTGGCGGTGTCAGCCTGTGCCTCAGCATTGTAGCGCCTAGATTTGAAATGCTTTGGGTAATATTGTTAGCTCGAAAATCATAGCCTCCAAGCTTTGAAAATGGCAACCCCACAACAAAACCTGCCTGGACATGCGTCTCCATCATTATTTCAGATTCTTCTCCTGTGAGGAAACCAAGCCTCTGAGACAACTTTATTATAGCTCCCCGGTCATTGTTTGCGCAAGCAAAAACCTGGTTTAGCGATCAATCAGTATCTCATATTAAACAATATAGGAATATAGAAGTGTCTCAGGTCAAAAGATTCAATGTCAATCATGCATACAACCTAAAAAAGTAAGCTAAAATCGCAACGGATCTCAGGTTTGCAGTTCGCCAGAGATGATTATGCTTTAACTAGAGAAAGGTACTGGTACCGTATGACAATAAAGGAATGCTTCAGATAAAATCTTTTAAGAAACTTGGCCAAAAATGCAAGCTTCAAATGCCACTAAACAACAGTTCAGATAACGGACAAGACCACTACGACAAATTGACCACCAGTTTATATGTAGATTTGATAGTTCCAAAGTGGGCAAAAGCATATAATTTGTCATTTAGCTGAGCCATATAATTATTTCAAACTTCCCTTTGAGCTAGGTCTAGTGAAAAAATACTATAACTTGCATACAGAAGAATAATAAACTCCAGCGCAATTCAAGTAAGCAAAGACATCTTACCATTCTCAAATAATCATCCACAAAAGGTTTGGGGTAGTCCCGAGCTGCTCCAAAGTCAATGAGATTGATTATTCTTTCAGACTCATCATACAGGAAATTGCTCCAATTAGGATCGGTCTGCTCTAAACAAGTCAATGTTAGGGAAAAGAAAAAG